ACCTTAAACATTGTTGGTACGAATGTAAAATGGGGGACATGCTTTGAAAAGCAGTTTGGCAGAACCTCATGAAGTTTAACACAACAATTCTAAACCGGGCCTGGTGGCTTGCCTGTAATGCCAGCACCCGGGAGGCTGAGGTGGGAGGATCGTTGTGAGTTCGAGACCAGCCTGGGCTACAAAGTGAGCTCAATGCCAGCCTGAACTGCATAGTGAAACTCTGCCTCAAAAAGACAAAAAACAAATAAATAAATAAACACAACATTCTAGTTTTGGTCCCCAGCAGGGTAAAAAGAAAACAGAGGAAACAAGATAACCCAGCAAGCTGACTCTGACATATGCCTAAGAGAACTAAAACTTGTACTTAAATATTCATTAGCAGCAATATTCATAATAACCAAGAAGGGGGAATAACCCAAATGTTCATCAACTAATGAATAAACTGTGGTAACATACTATAAAATACTATTTGCAAATAAAAAGGAATGAACTAATGAAGTACAGCATAAACCATAAAAACATTACATTAAAAAAAAAGTCCCAGAGCATATTATATGATTCTGTTTATATATAGTGTCCACAACTGGCAAATCTGTGGACATAAAGTAAATTAGTAGTTGTCAGGGATAAGGAAAAATGCAATGTAACAGTTTAAAGGGTTTTTAAAGGGGGGACAAATGGTGAAGTTTGCATAATTCTGGAAAATACAAAAAACACTGAATTATACACTTAACAAGGCAAATTTCTGGGGCTGGGAATACAACTCAGTGACACAAGTGCCTGTCTGGCAAGTGTGAGATCTTGAATTAATTCCCTGTACCCCTTCCAAAAAAAAAAGCAAATTTTATGGCATATGAATTATATTTCAATAGAGCTACTGTGGGTTTTTTTTTTTCCTTCTGGGGTGCTAGGGATTCAGCCTTTGGTCTGGGCTCATTCCAATGGGCTTGTTTATTTTTATTTTTTACTTTGAGAAAGGGTCTTGCTAAGTCCCTAAATTGCCCAGACCGGGATTGAACTTGTCATCTTTCTGCCTCAGCCCCCCAAAGTGCTGGTATTACAGCATGCACCACTATGCCCCACTTCTTTTTTAAATCACATATACACAATGGAATTACTCAGTCTTAAAAAGAAGAAATATCTGGATGTGCATGGTGGCACGTGCCTATAATCCTAGCACTGACAGGCTGAGGCAGGAGGATCACTGTGAGTTTAGGGTCAGTTGGGCTACAGAGTGAACTCAGGCCAGTCTGAACTACATAGTGAAAACTTAGCTCAAAAAAAAAAGGAGGAAGGAGGGAGAAAATTGCTATTTGTGACAAGATGGACAAATCTAGTAAGTGACATAATCCAGAGACAGAAACAGACTGCATGATCTCACTTACACATGAAATCTAAAAAGGTGGCTGAGATCTGGGGGTTCAGCTGTGGCATAGCATGAGGTCAAGAGTTCAATCCCCGGCACAAATAAATAAAATAAAATAAAATAAAATAAAATAAAAAGGTGGCTGGGATCTAAGGGTATACCTTAGTAACACAGGACTTCCCTGACATGCACAAGGCTTTGGGTTTGATGCCTGATACCACAAAAAAGATAAATAAATAAAGCTTGGTACTTCAGCACACACCTATGATTCTAGCTACTCAGAAAGCTGAGGCAGGAGGATCACAGATTTGAAGACAGCCTGGACCTATTAGTGAGACCCTTGTCTCAAAAAATAAAAAGGGCTAGATATGTAGTTCAATAGGAAAGTACTTGCTTAGTATATGTGAGGCCCTGTATTAAATCCAAGTACTGCGATAAACAAACAGATGGGGTACCAAGTTCTAACTGTATAGGAATCTAATGAAAGTATGAGAATTATAGTTAACTATATAACTACCACTGTATTGTATATTGGTAAAATACAAAAAGAGTAGAATTTAGGGATGGAAAGAACAAAGAAGGGAGGAAAAAATGCAGGAAAAAAAAGGAAGGAGGGGGCTGGGGATTTAGCTCAGCAGCATAAGCACCTGCCTTGCAAACAGGCAGTCGTGAGTTCGATCTCTGGTACCGATAAAAATGAAAAAGACAAAAAAAAAAAAAAAAAAAAAAGGAAGGAATAAAGAGAGGTGGGAAAAAAATGAAACTACAGAAAAAAAAAAAAAAAAAGAAACTACAGGGGCTAGGGATTTAGCTCAGCGGCATAAGCGCCTACCTTGAAAGCAGGCAGTCGTGAGTTCCCCGGTACAGATAAAAAGGAAAGAGACAAAAAAAAAAAAAAGAAAGAAACAACATGAGATGATGGGTATATTAATTTGCTTACTACAGTAACTGCTTCAGTATGTATATCAAAAGAAGTCTAGGGGCTGGAGATTTAGCTCAACGGCATAAGCATCTGCTTTGCAAGCAGGCAGTCGTGAGTTCGATCCCTGGTACCGATAAAAATGAAAAAGATAAAAAAAGAAGAAGAGAGAAGTCTATTGAAACATGTTATATTAAACCTTAAATATACAAATTTTTAAAAACTGATGAGCTGAATTATCAACAGCCTATGTAAAATAAAAGAGCACACACTTTTTTTTTTGGTGCTGAGGATCAAACTCACAACCTCAGGCAGGTGCTTATGTTACTGAGCTAATCCCCCAGCTGAAAGCACATTCTTATTGGAAGGAAATCTTATTCCCATATCACATTTCAGTGCGGTATTGGTTGCTTTTTTTTTCTTTTTCTTTTTTTAAAATTTGCTTGTTTTTTGAAATAGGATCTCACTGTGTAGTCCAGCCTAGCCTCAAACTTATGATCCTCCCATGTCAGCCTCCCAAATCCTGGGATTACAGGCATGTACCACCATGCCCAATTCTTTTTAAACAAATTAGTGTGGATATCATTAATTACTGCTATTATGTAATTATTGATAATAAACTTCACTAACAACAACGAAACTTTGTATCTTACCAGGTAGGTGCTGTGCCACCTCTGTAATCCTAGCACTTAGGAGGCTGAAGCAAGAGGATCACCATGAGTAGAAGGCCAGGAACCGGCCTACATAGTGAGTTAAAGTCCAGCCTAAACTACATAAAGAGATTCTGTCTTAAATAAATAAGAAAATGAATGAAAGAATAAACAAACATTGCATCTCTAACCAAGAAAGACTTCTCATAAAACAAGAAATAAACTACGCACATATAATCCCAGGTACTCAGAAGGCTGAGGCACACAAATCTCAAAATTTGAAGCCACAGCAACTTGGCAAGACCCTGTCTCAAAATAAAAAATGTTGGGCGTCAGGAATATAGCCCAGTGGCACAGCACCTACCTGGTAAGTGCAAGATCTTGAGTTTAATTCCCAGTTCCAATAAAATAAAATAAAAGTTTTAAATTAAAACTTAAAAATGAATAAGGAAAAAGGACAAAAAAAAGAAAAAGAAAAAGGAGCCGGGAGTGGTGGCAGTGGTGGAATTACAGGCCTGTAATTCCAACCACAGTATCACTGTAGGTTCAAGGCCTGCCTAGGATACATAGTGAGTAAAAGACCAGCCTGAACTATACTGTGATCCTGTCTCAAAAAACACAAAATGAAACAAAACAAAAAAGAACAAAAGCAAAAAACTGTTTTTAATTTTAGGATACAGTGCTTGCTGAGCTGTGCATAAGCCCTGGGCTCAGTCTTCAGTACAGGTCAGGAAACAGCAAGAAACACCTGTGGTGGTAAGCAGACTGCTGGAGCCTCCACACTGAGCCGGGCATGACTTAATCACACCCACTTTATGCTTTCTGCTCTGTGGTGCTCTCTTTATTTAAAGGTCTTTCTCTTTTCAAAGCAGGGCGACCAACAGAGATCAGCCCCCACTCCTGGCCACCTACCTTTCCTCTGAATTAAGCAGTTCATAAAAGCACAGCACCAGAGGCTGGGGATTTAGCTCAGTGGCATAAGCGCCTGCCTTGCAAGCAGGCAGTCGTGAGTTCCATCCTGGTACCGATAAAAAGGAAAAAGACAAAAAAAAAAAAAAAGCACAGCACCTTTCTTACAGAGGTAAGATTGCACCTTCATTTCTGAGGCTCTCCCTTCACTCTTAATGTTATTCCTACATGTTCTAGCATGCAATTCCTAATTAAATTAACACCCAACTGTCTTCCTATTAACTACCATTCTGATAAGTGTTGTTCTCATTAACCAGCTCATTTTATTCCCAAGGTAGTCTTACCAGCAGTTAAAAACAGCTGTTAGGGGCTGGGGGTTTAGCTCAGCGCACAAGTGCCTGCCTGGCAAGTGCAAGGTTGTGAGTTCAATCATTGGTATCAAAAAAAAATAAAAGCTGTTAGTATGCTATAATAAAAAGGATATTTAGATAACAAAGACAATGCTCATCTTTGTAGGGTTTTACACGGCTTCTTAGAAGATCCCAAAGTTCACATAGTCCACACTGTTGATGAGGGTATGGAAAGTGACTAATCACTAACTAGCATTTCCTGCTCAAATGTGAACTGGGACAACTCTCTCCGAAGAGAAATTTGGCCAGTGACAAAAATATAGACCAGGCATGATGGCACACGCTTGTAATCCCAGCGTTCAGGAGGCTGAGATAAAAAGACTGCTATAAATTCAAGGCTAATCTAGGCCATAAAGTAAGTTCAAGACCAGCCTGAATTATACAGTGAGAATAACTCAAAAAAAAAAAAAAAAAAGTAAAATAAACCTTTTCACTCAGTAATCCTGCCTCTACAAATTTATCCTGAAGATGCACAAAGATGTTAAAAAAAGATTGTCTACAACAGGAAAAAACTAGAAACTTAAATGTCCAATAATGAAAGGTATAGTCACATAGAAAAGTACTATGCAGCCAGTAAAAGGGATAAAGTAACCAGGGCTTAAGTGGTGATTACATGCCAGATATTCTAATGACTTCAACGCACTTTGCATAATTTCATTTATTCTAACAACAACCCTATGTTCATCCCAATTTACAGCTGAGCAAACTGAGAGATAGAGCTATCACCACCTCCAACTGCTCCTTACCTGTGTTAATGGCTTGAAGAGGCACCTTCCAGAAGGACAGGAGGAAATGGCTCAGAGAAGTGTTTTCACAGTGAAGACGGCTATAATCAAGCAAAAACAAACTATTAAATACTTTTCTTAAAATTAAAAATAAGAGGCTGGTCCGATGGCAGTGGGTTATCAGAACTTATTAACATTAGTGTCACTAAATTGGTATACCACCCCCCCCACTGCTAAATTTGACTGGCTTTAAAAAAAAAAATTAAAAATAAGAACTGAAAAAAAATAACTGAGGATGTAGCTGACTAGTTGAGCACTTGTCTATAATGAATGAGCCCTAGATTTGATCCCTAACACCACATACACAAACACACAAAAAAGAAAAATATTAAAAATTAAATTAGTTTAAAAAAATTTAATTAGTTATCAATTGACAATTTTGAATATAGTTTATAGATACAATAACAGTACCACACCAGTGTTAATTTCTAAGTTTTATCAATCATTCCATGGTTATCTAGGAAAATGTTCTTGTAGGAAAAGGCTGAATATTTATGTATTTGTTTTCGTGGGTACAAGCAATCGAACTCAGGACCTCACACTTGCCAGGCAGGCACTGCATCACTGAGCTATATCCCTGGCCCAAGGCTATCACATTTAAAGGCAGAATCAAGTCTGCAAGGTGCTCTCAAGTGTTCCAGAAAAAAAAAATACATACACATATATGCATACATACAGGGAAAGACAGAGTGATGAAGCAAATATGTCTGACATTTGAGGAATCTAAGTAAAAAGTATTTGGGATTTCTGTGGGATTACTCTGTAACTTTTTTCTTTTTCTTTTTTTTCTTGTCTTTTTGAGACAGGCTCTTGCTATGTAGTTCAGGCTGGCCTTGGGCTCACTTTGTACCCCAGGCTGCTCTTGAACTTGTTAACAATCCTCCTGCCTCAGCCTCCCGAGTGCTGCAATTATAGGCATGCACCACCACGCCCAGCTTGTAAGTTTCTGTAAATCTGAAACTATTTCAATAAAATCTTTTAAAATTAAGCATAAGATCATTAGCAGGAAAACCAGCACTCATACATGACAGCAGTGTTTCTGCCACAAAAGAACTGTACACAGGTTTATAAATTAAGAATGTATATTTCGGCTGAAATTTTAACATTTAAATGTCTGTACTAGGCCAGGAGTGGTGTAAAACACCTGTAATCTCAGTAATTGGAAGGCTGAGACAAGAGGATTGCCATGAGTTCCAGGCCAGCTCACGCTACACAATGAGTTCAAGGCCAGCCTGGACTACGAGCAAGACCCTGTTGAAAAACCAAAAAAATAAAAATAAAGCAAAAAAACTGACACAATGTTCATACTAGTGAAAAACATGGCACAATCAAACTATGTTAGGCTTTTCTAATCTACTTCAAGTCTAATTAGTTCAACTGGTTTAGATTTTTTTTTTTTTTTGAGACAGGGTCTTACTATGTAATTCAGGTGGGCCTCAAATTCAAATTTATAGTGATCCTCCTGCCTCATCCTCCCAGGTGCTAGGATTACACGACCCACACCTGTCTAGAATTTTTTTTTAATCTTTTGTGCCAGCTCTGTCACAAAACCTACACTGAGAGCCAGGGATTTAGCTCAGCAGTGGTAAGTGCCTGTCTGGCGAGCACAACATCATGAGTTGATTCCCTGTACAAAAAAAAAAAAAAAAAAAAAAAAGCCTCATTGACAGTAAAAAGATTTCAAGATTCTGAGAAAAAAAAATTGGCCAATTATTTTCATCGCTTCAAGAGTTAAGAAATAATACATAAGTGCCTGCCTTACAAGCGCATGGCAGTAAATTCGATCCCCGGTACAAAAAAACAAAAAACTGCCGGGCCTGGTGGCTCACACCTGTAATCCCAGCACTCGGGAAACTGAGGCAGGAGGATCATTGTGAGTTCAAGACAAGCCTGGGCTACAAGTGAGCTCAAGGCCAGCCTGAACTGCATGGCGAGACCCTGTCTCAAAAAGATTAAAAAAAAAAAAAAAGTAATTTTTTTAGTTTCTTTCTTGTTTCATCTACACTGGGAAAAAGTAGATATATACCAGCAGCAAAAAAGACCATGCCAGCAAATAAAGTAATGTTTAGTTAACAACTGAATTTTCTTTTAATCAAAGACCAAACATCCTACTTCTAATCACATAACACTTCAGTTTCACATGATTAACCATCCAAGTCTGTGTTTGCTTCAAATTCCAGTTCTAGGGGCTGGGGATTTAGCTCAGCGGCATAAGCACCTGCCTTGCAAGCAGGCAGTCGTGAGTTCGATCCCCGGTAGCGATAAAAAAGAAAAAGACCAAAAGAAAAAAAAAAAAAAAAAAAATCCAGTTCTACCACTTGTTAGCTACTTAGCCTTAGGAAATTTGTTTCTTTTTCTTTTTCTTTTAAGGAAATGTATTTAACTCTAAGCCCTGATTTCTTAACCTCTAAAAATAAGAACTATCAGAAGAAAAAATAGAAACAAAGCCTTTGTAAGGAGAAGAGAGATAAAGGGAGGAGAGTGGAATGGGAAAAGAAGCAAGATATATCATGTACAGGTACAAATGCTCTCTGATGAATATTATCATTATGTATACCTAACATGTACCAATAAAAAAATAAAATGTTTCAATAAAAAACTAAAGAAAAATAGCAGAAGTGTCACCCTGCCCTAACCCTACTGCAGGCCTCTGCAGGTTTACTGGGATTACCCAGCATGGATCCGGGCTCTGACTGCCTCCCCTGTCTACCAGAGACAGCAGAGTCATGCCCTGAATTGGACACTACCACATAACTGCAGAAGATAACCACAGACTTAAAATCACAGACGAGTTTCTTTTTTTTTTTTTAAGATTTATCTTTATTTTCTGATACACTCCTTAGTACTTCTGAGAACCTTTGACCTTATAACTTGGTACATGAGGCACAGTATGTGGAAAATTCATTCTTTTTGGAAGTATCTTGAGCACTGCCCTCTTCTTTCTCTGGCTTCGTTTTTTTTCTTAAAGTAGAATTTTACTGACTAAAGGAGTGGCACATCTCTTCATTTTCAGCAGAACATGGTGTTTTTTTCCTTCTCCAAATCCTTCTGGGAAAGTATTGATCTAAGAGATGTCCTCTAAGGGTGGTCTGGAATATTTCTTCACTTGGTACCCTGAACTTCCAGGGTGCACCAAGTTTTTTTTGTTTTGTTTTTGTAATGGCAATTGAACTTAGGACACCTCGAGTTTGCCAAGCAGGCGATGTGCCATTGAGCTATATCCCCAGCCCAAAAGCATTTGATGAATTAAAATGTTCCAAGGGGCTGGGGATTTAGCTCAGCAGCATAACCGCCTGGCTGACAAGCATGAGGTCGTGAGTTTGATCCCCAGTACCAAAAAATAAATAAAATAAAATAAAATAAAATATTCCATAAGATTTTTTTGTGCCTCTTTGTAGTAAGTATTCTCTCTTGGTCTCAAAGATATGAGACTAGCCTGTTGAAGATTTGCTTTTCTCAAAGAAGTATTCCTCTGAAAAAGGTCTCCCATTTTTCCCAGGAAATTTATTCTCCAAATTAGCCTTCTCCCTGAACCATGAATCTGTTTTCTGTATCTTACTCATAATCCAAAAATGTAAAAGTGATGAAGTCCAAGGGAGCATCAAAAGAGTGTTTTTTAACTTGTAACAGTTGTCCTACCTTTAGTGCAAGTTTTCTCCTAGTTTTTTTTTTTCCTTTGTTTTTTGAGATAGGGTCTTTCTATACAGGTCAGTCTGGCCTTGAACCCATTAGGTGGTCAAACTGACCTCAAACTCAATCCTTCTGTCTCAATCTCCTGCCTCGGTCTCCCCAGTGGTGGAATTACAAGCATGTGCCATCATGGCCAACTTCCCAGTATTTGTAACACATTTCTCAACAGCAAAATTTCTGCAGTTAATAGGTCTATTAGTCTCCTGTTTACAGGCTTGCCTAAAAAAATGCATTATACTCTCACCTCTTCTGAAATTTTGAAGTCTAGCAGATGCTTTTTTTTTTTTTTTTTTTTTGTCTTTTTCCTTTTTATCGGTACCGGGGATCGAACTCACGACTGCCTGCTTTACAGGCAGGCGCTTATGCCGCTGAGCTAAATCCCCAGCCCCTAGCAGATGCTTTTTATTAAGAATCTTTCTTCAGGGGCTGGGGATTTAGCTCAGCGGCATAAGCGCCTGCCTTGCAAGCAGACAGTCATGAGTTCGATCCCTGGTACCGATAAAAACAAAAAGACAAAAAAAAAAAAAAAAAAAAAAGAATCTTTCTTCAGACAGGCGTGGAGGTGCATACCTGTAATCCCAGCACTCAGAAGGCCAAGGCAGGAGAATCACTGCTAGTTCGAGACCAGCCTGAGCTACAAAGTGAGCTCAAGGCCAGCCTGAACTGCACAGCAAGACCCTGTCTCAAAAAGACCAATGTTGGGGTCTGTGCTTAGACCCCTAAGCCTCCAAATGGGTGCATGGCCAAGGCTCAAAGGGCTGAGACATGCGGCATGGCCTTTAGGGCTGCAGGAGGAGTGAAATCCTTGGCAGAGCCGGTAACTCTGCTAGCCTGCCAACCGACTGGCGCTAGGCAGCTGTATTTAATCAGAACAAGCAAGGAGTTGAGTGGACAATGGAGGAAACCTGAACAGAATCTTGGGAGGGGTTCAAGGACCCCTCAGATCAACAGACGATATGTTAAGGAAAACTACCCAGAAAGTTTCTAGGTGGCCCCAGCTGTGGCCTATCTTGCTCCCTGAAGTGTCTCCTCCTTCTCAGTTCAGTCATGCCAGGGCCACCCACAGCCCTGCATATGTATTCAGCTTCAATGTTCTCCAACAGACAAAAAAAAAATCTTTCTTCATCTCAGCTCAGCTCTGACAATGACACTCAAGCCCTTGTTCCTGTTTTTTTTTTTTCATGAGTGTGAATACTGTTTTCATTTTTGTTTTGTTCTTGTTTCTGTTTTTTCTTTCCCTCCTTCTTCACCAGTCTTCCTTTGTCCTTCACCCCTGCTTCTAATCTCAGTCTCTTATTTTATTCCTCTATAAAATTTTTCCCCTGAAGATAAAATCACTCTATCAACTGGATACTCACTAAATATAATTTTCTGATTTGTCTTAGATTTTATTATATAACCATAAATCTTGTACCAATGGTTTAAGGTGGCAAAAAAAAAAAAAAAAACAACTGAACTGGCAGATCTGTTGAAGGCTTTATCCCACATTTTACCTTGTATTAGAATATTTAGTAAAATGCTCCTCTAAAAAGTGTAAAGTTCTTTGGACATAAGCTTACTTCAAATATATCATAATTCTTAATCTCCCTGCCTTCCTCTCTTCACTCCATGTTCCCTGGCACTGTGATTTATAGTGGCAGGCATATCATAAATATATCTGATGGAAATCTTGCACAAGCAACCACTCCCTAAGTATACCATAGTCCAGACTTGCTTAAACCTAAGAATTATCAAGGATACTGTAAAAACTAGTTTTGAGGGTCCCAAATTACACCTAATTCTGAAATTGGCTGTAAATTGGAGCATATCTTGGAATGTCTATTTCTAACAAACATCCTAATCCATTTTCTTATGAGTTTGAAAACTATGGTCCTAAATTACCACCCAAGATATTTTGTTTTGTCACCTATCACTCTTTTTTTTTTTTTGTCTTTTTCCTTTTTTATCGGTACCAGGGATCGAACTCACGACTGCCTGCTTGCAAGGCAGGCGCTTATGCCGCTGAGCTAAATCCCCAGCCCCTCACCTATCACTCTTAATGAAAAATTTCCCTACAATGAGCCTTCCATCTATATGGTAGTTTCTATCTCAACATATAATATTAAGAGAAAATTAAGAGTTCCTTTTATAGGCAATCCTCATTCTTTTCACTTATTGTATTTGAATCCAGCCTTGCCAGGTGTGATGGTACACACCTGTAATCCCAGTACTCGGAAGACTTAGGCAAGTGGATTGCAGGTGAGTTCCAGCTCAGAATTAGGGGCTACATAATTGAGTTTAAGGCCAGGTTGCACTACATAGCAAGACCCGGTATCAAAAAAAGCAAAAACTTAAAAAAAAAAATTGAAATAGTCTTATCTACCTACAATTGTATTAAGAAATGACTTTTGGTTTTTCTTTCCCTTTCTCTGTGATAAGTGAGGCACATTCTTCTCACCATCATCTAACAAAAATTTAAGAGTGTCATTTTGTAGACTATCCAGCTCGTGACATGGTTTAGATGAATTAGATGACTTGTACGTAAAACATTTAGTAATAGTCCTCAAAACAGAAGAATTTCCTGTTCACATCCTAAGTCAACATACTGCAGAGCCCCCTCCTGAGGGAACACCACAACTCTGAAATAATTAAAGATGGAAGAAAGATGCTTTCATAGTAAAGATAATGATTTTTTTTTTTGTTCCCTCTCAGTCCAAATATAATATCCTTTTATCCTCCCAAACTAAAGCGATGTCACCTCCTGATCACAGCACAAGCTTTGGCCAACACTGACAAAATGAAGCCTGCTAGAAACACGAAAGAATGGTGCATCTCTCAAACCTTAGCTCTTTGAAATGACACCCAATACCGAACTCGAGTCATAACAACCAGTATTTTAATCCACTTTGAGTTCAGATCCTTCCAAGCTATTTCTGTACAACAACTGTCCTCTCGGTGAGCAACTTAAGGGAAAGGTCCTTGCTAAAGAGAACCAGGTAGCTAGGCTCTAATACTAACTGGCTGGGTGAACTAGACCCTCCCTCTCTGAACCTCATCTAGTCAACTCCAAGAAAATAATAATAATCAGGATTTAGAAGATTTAGAAAAAGAGCAATATGGGGTCGCCAAGATCCGCAAGACTCAAATCTTAAACTACATGACTATCAAATCTAATCTCACTTCAAAGATGAAGAACTCCAGTGCTCTGCACACACACGGTGCCAGCCAGGAACCCGAAGACCTAAGATAAAAGCCTTCAATTCTGCCTCGAATCTGACAGGTAGGCACCGTATTTAGCACCTGTTCTGTTGCCCCTTGTGAAAGTCGACCTCGCTAGAATCAGCAAAGCGAGAGCGCTTAGGCCACGCGTAACTAAATCTGGACCACCCTATGGCGACAGCAATGACATCTGCTTCCGAACTCGAGGTGAAGGTGGTTTTCTCCACTCAAGCCCTCTTCAGAACAAACCCGAGATAGAGAAACAACTCTTCTCCATACCCTGGCATAGCTCGAGTCTCCCCCGCCCCAAGTCAGTCTCCCACATTGTGGTACCTGGTCCGCCACCGCCCGTCCTCGCGCAGAAAGTGCCAACACCAGCGTCCCAGGGACGCCGCCATCTTGTCTCCTCCCCTCAGAGGGCCACGCCCCCTTTCACACGCGAGCCTTGCGTGTGATGTCATGAGGTTCGACTTCAAAAGGCCAATGACAAACGCGAGGGGCTGCGGGCGGAACCAACAAACTCCGCCCTATGGTTAACTCAGTTTTCCCAGGTTTGCGTTTCCAAAACCTGTAAGGCTAGTTTGGGCGGCGGAGGTACCCAGCAATCTAGGCCGTGGTCTGGGCGCAGCCTTGTCAATTTTCCTTCCTTCTGGGACGCCTTTCTGCATGTATCTGGAAAAAGAATTACTCAAGATTCGAGAAAGTCGTTTGGCAGACCTGACTCGCTCATTTACACTTGTATCCACGACTCAGCTGCCATTTATTAAGCCTTGTAAGCATTTTACCTGTCTGCTGACACTTTTGTTACCTCCCACTCACGTGTTGCTAGGGAGATTCCTGCCCAGGTCTTGAATCACCTAGAAATGCAATTAAGTGGTAAGCGAGGTGCCTAAATGCGCTTTGTTCCTGCTCTCTTCAATTGTACGAGAAAAACCAACTTTCAGTAATGTCTGCCACTTTTTACTAAACACTGATTTGGAGCTTAGAACATTATCCCATTTTAAAGACGAGGCTTGGGGAGATGAAACAACATTCTCAAAGGCACCTAATCAGAATGAGATCAGATTTGCATGATTCCCTATTTAAAGTTTTTGACTAGGTCAGGGATATATATCTCAGCAACATAGAGCCTGCTTGGCAAGTGCAACGTTGTGAGTTTGATCCCTGGTACAAAAAGATAAAGTCCTTTGACTACAATCTGGCTGAATTGGGGCTCAAAACGTGAAGAAATATAACTTTGATTTTTTTTTTTCTCTGCTAAGCTGCCGATCACAGATAACTATAAACCTTTGATACGGGAGAAGGCATATTCAGGTTGATGCCTGCAGTTATTTCTATGCAGTTATTCAAATTTGGCTGGGGCATAACCAGTGCCTACTTGCTGGAGAGAAAACAAATTCTTTTGTTGTGGTTTTTGCAAACGTGAAGAGGGAGCTAGAGATTTAGCTCAGTGGCATAAGCGCCTGCCTTGCAAGCAGGCAGTCATGAGTTCGATCCCCGGTGCCGAAAAGGAAAAAGACAAAAAAAATAAAAAAAAATAAAAAATAAAATAATAAAAATGAAGTGCAGTGGAGAAAACAATATCCACATGTTGTCCGGTAGTTACTTGGAAAATAACTCACCAAACAAAATTATTCCAGATCCTTCTTGCCTCAACACAGGTCTTGGGCAAAGACAAGCTTAAAATGGTGTCAGAAGTTTATTTTCAAATGAGAGGTGAAAGAATAAGGGACGAATCAGCTCTGCAGAGTAAAAATAGGTCAAACAGAAGGATAAAAAGTAAGAGTGAAAGTACACCTTGGGTCTGGAAGACCCAGGATGAGCTACTCTTGGAGGTCAGGATAAGCAAGCTCCTCCTGGTGTCTTTCCATTTTTTCCCGGATCTAATGGGAGATGTTGAGAAGTTCCTTGAAAGTTACCTGGCTGCAGCCCTGGGATCTTGTAATTCACAGGTCCTGCTTATTTCCCCAGCCTGCTTTGCCACACTCTAGCTCCTGTATCACACATACTAAAGAAAGAAATGAATCCTTACCATATATTAAAATTAATTGAAAGTGTAATGAATTCGTAAATTTAAAATCTAAACCTATATAACTCTTTTAAAAAGTAAAAGAGAGAGGTGTGGTAACACATTCCTATAATCCCAGCACTTTGGGAGGCTGAGGGATGAGGATCATTAGTTGAGAGTCCAGCTGGTGTAATTTAAGTCACAGTCTGTCTCAGGTTTTAAAAAATAAAAGGGCTGGGAATGTAGCTCAGTTTGAAGGCTCTCAGTTCAACCTTCAGTACTCCAAAAAACAAAAACCAAAAAAACCTTTATGACTTCAGATTTGGCAATAATTTATTGAATATGATACCAAAAGCATTGTTAGATATTTTTCTCTCGCTGCTGGGACAAAATAACAAATGTTAGCAGAACATGGGAAAGTTGGAACCCTCACGTATTGCTATTAGAAATGTAAAATAGAGCTGCTGTAGAAAACAAGTGTGTTGATTTCTTAAAAAGTTAAACATAGAATACTTTTCCACTGTAGGTGGGAGCACAAACTGGTACAATCGCTGTGGAAATAAGTGTTGATTCCTCAAAAAATTGGGATTAGATGTCCCATTTTATCCAGCTACTCCCTTTCTTGGTATTTCCCCAGAAGAATTTAAAACAAAATACCACAGTGATATATTTGTACCCATATTTATAGCAGCACAATTTGTAATAGCTAAATCTTGGAAACAACCCAAATGCCCACCAACTGAGGAATGGATAAAAATGATATAGTCATTTTCTAGAAGGGAGTACTACTGAGCCATAAAGAAAGATAAACTGGAGACTTTTGTAGGGAAATGTATGCAACTGGAAACTCATAAGTGAAATAAATCAGATGCATATGTATAAACATCATATTGTTTCCCTAGTATGAGAAGCTGAAAGAGTAAAAATGGGTCCAAAATGTACAGTAGGTATTGTGAAGTGGGAAGCAACTGTTCAAAAGGAAAGAGAAACTGGGATAAGGAAAGGAGAAAAGAAGGAAAGGAAAAGCAAAATAAATAAAATATATATGCACACACACAAGATAGTTAAGATAGGGCTAGGGCTGGGGATTTAGCTTAGTGGCGTAAGTCCCTGCCTGGCAAGCACAAGGTCCTGAGTTCGATCCCCGGTACCACAAAAAAAAAAAAAAAAAATTAAGATAGGGCTGGGGATTTAGCTCAGTGGCATAAAGCACCTGCCTTGCAAGCACACAGTTGTGAGTTTGATCCCCAGTACCAAGAAAGATAATTAAGATAGTTATACTACTAATTTTTCTGAGTTTATTGAAAGAAAAGTTTGTGCTAATATTGTCTGGACAATTAAATGCCTATGACAATTAAATACCCGGGTATTTTTTATTTTATTTTTGGGACCAGGGATCAAACTTACAACTGCACCTTGCAAGGCAAGCACTTATGCTGTTAAATCCCCAGTCCCTGAATAACAGGTAACAATATGCAAGGCTGGGGATATACCTCAACAGCATAGCACCTGCCTGGCAACTGTGAAGCCCAGAGTTCAATTCCTGATATCCTCCAATAAAAAAGCAAATAAATAATAAAAATAACAATATACAATGTATTAATCATTGTTAATCTCCTATTATTTTGTTTTCAAATTGTTTCTCTTTAAAATAAAATTTTAAAAAAGTTAAACATAGAATTTAACATTGATCTTTCTTACAATTTCATTCCTAACTTATATCCAAAAGAATTGTAAGAAGTAGATACTTGTATACAATGACCAAAAAAGTTGAATAAATAGAATAATAAACACAAAATGGTACATCAGATCTGCGCTTAGTGGAGAGTAGTCCCAGTGACCCTGGAGGTTGAGGATCATATCTTGAGCTCATGGAGTTTAAGGAAGTCTAGGTAACAGTGAGATCCAGACTCAAGACATAAACATACACACAAAACAAAACAAAAAATGTGGGACTGGGGATTTAGCTAAGCGGCATAAGCGCCTGCTTGGCAAGCATGAGGCCACAAGTTTGATCCCTGGAACAAACAAACAAACAAAAAAAGTGTCATATCCCTATCATGGAATGTTGTCTGTCTATAAAAAGGAATGAATGAATGAATTGGGGCCGGGGATTTAACTCAGTGGCATAAGCGCCTGCCTGGCAAGTGCAAGGTCATGAGTTCGATTCCCAGTACCCCCCCTCCCCCCAAAAAAAAACCAAAAAAATCCAACAACAACAACAAAAAGGAATGAAGTACTTAATATATGCTATAACATGAATAAACTTTGAAAATATTTTACTAAGTGAAATTAGCCAAACACAAAATTTTTGAACAAGTATATGATTCTATTTATATCAAATGCCTAAAATAGGCAAGTTCATAAACACAGAAAGTAAAACAGGTGTTACAGGAGTGGGAAGAGGAGGAATGAGAAATTACTGTTTAATGAGTACAGAATTTCTTTTGGTATGAAGAAAAAGTTCTGGAAGTGGATAGTGATAATGGTTGTCTAACATGAGAAAATTAGTTTTTATTTTATTTTTTTATAGCAGATTCATAGTAAGTGAATTTTTTTTGAGAAAATTAGTTAATGTCACTGAATTATATACTTCAAAATGGCTAAAATGTTAAATTTTATTTTATATATATTTTACCTCAATTTTAACAAATTTTAGTCTATCAGTACCAAATTCCCACAAGGGTAAACATTATTTACCACAATTTTTTAACAGTTCACTGAAAACAAGTACTGGCAAGGATGTAGAGAAATCAGACCCTCCATGTACTGCTGATAGGAAAACTATCTGGCAGTTCCTCAGATGGTTAAACATGGAGTCATCATGACACAACCCAACAATTCCAGTCATAAATATGTGTTTCTGTGTGGAGGGGAGGTTGTCAGGGTCTCACTATGTAGCCCAGGCTGGCCTCAAATTCACATTGATCCTCCTGCCTCAGCCTCCTGAGTGCTATGATTACAGGTGTGTGCTACCTGCCTTCCTAGATAAGTATCTGAAAGAAATGAGAATGTGTCTAAATAAAAACCTGTATACAAATGTTTGTAGCAACATTATAAGCCTAAAATACAGGCCAGGCATGGTGATACACACCTGTAATTCCAGACTCAAGGAGGTTGAGGCAAGAAGATCGCTGCAAGTTCAAGGCCAGCCTGGCCTACGTAGTGAGTTTAAGGCCAGTCTGAACTACATAGCAAGACCTTATTCCAACACAATACAAAACAAAAATCTGAAACAGGAAATCTACAGAAACAAAAAGTATATTAGGGAATCTTTAGGGTTGAGGAGATGGGGAAGGAGGAGATAGGGTTGATGACTAAAGGGTATGGGATTTCTTTGAAGGTGATAAAAAGTGTTCTAAAGCTGAGAGTGGTGATAGTTGCACGAATTTGTGGGTGCATTATAAAAACCATTGAATCGTACACTTAAACTGAATGACTGGTGTATGAACTCAGTAGTTATTTAA